GAACTTCTTGTGTTTCAGCTTGTGGCCATTTCCCCTCGTCCTATCGCTGGCCACCAGTGAGAACAGCCTGTCCCCTTCCTCCCTGCATTCTCCCTTCCTGAATTTATACATATTAATCATATCCCCTCTGAGCCTTCTCTTCTCCAGAGAAAACAGGCCCAGCTCACTCAGCCTCTCTTCATACGAGAGATGTTCCATTCCCTTAATCATCCTGTTTGCCCTTCTCTGGACCCTCTCCAGAAGCTCCACGTCCCTCCTATACTGGGGAGCCCAGAACTGCACACAGTACTCCAGGTGCGGCCTCACCAGAGCTGAGTAGAGGGGCAGAATCACCTCCCTTGACCTGCTGGCAACACTCCTCCTGATGCAAACTACTAATAAAGTAATGAATAGAAGGCATTACAATTGATATTAGATTACCAGCAGTAGTACTAATTACTACTAATCAACATCCTTATAAAATCTAGAGAAAAAAAATGGTGGTCACCACAGCATTATGAAGACACAAAAACATACAATTTTATGCAAAATATTTGCTCATATAAGAAATAAGATGTATAGGATGTATCTTGGGAACTCTGAACAAATGCAATAAATGGGAATGCCTACATTGGACTATGCGGTGAGTTTATCTTTGGGGAGCTGTTTTACACTTGCTCTGTGAGCTGAAGAGACGCTGCGTATCTGTCACAGTTTAGTTTTAACTTTGTGGAAAGCTCAGCACACTTTCCACAGCATATACTGTGGAAAGCAGTACATGCAATCCTATTTTAGAACACAATTAGCTCTGAGATTATATTTATCCTGTTACTGAAGCTTTTTAGTTCTTTTAGTTTGTGGAAACATTCATATATGGAAACATTCAAATTAGAAAGGGTGTCACTGCAGCAAGATCCATCTGCCCACTTGTATTATTTTCTTCTCAATAATCTCTCTTCTCCCCATCTCTATGGCACTCCCTGCTGCACAAGCTGTGGAAATGGCAGGAGCTCAAAAAAAAAAAAAAAATTAAAATAAAATCCTCCTGCAGAAATGCAACAAGAGCAGTCCTTTCAGAGCAGTCCATGGTCTATGGACTGTTTCTGAGAAGAGCATAAAAGCTGAGAAAAACAAGATGACTGTCAGCTTCAAATTTCCTATGAAAACACCCTGCACTTCCACTGCAAGCTTTCAGGAGTTCCCACAGGATTTAGGTTTTGGCCTGAGTAGCTCTACACAGCACTGGGTGAGCTCCCGCACCAGTCAAACCGAAGGGAGCAGACGGCACCGCCCGGGCCTGGCTCTTCCCTCAGCTCTTTGCCGCTGTTCCAACCTGTTGCAGCACAAGGAGCACGCGGCTGGGACTCAGCCGGAGGGAAGGAGAGCGCAGAGCTGCGAGGGGTTCGTGGCAGCCAGGGCATCCCCCTTGTTCGGCTGGAGGCTCCAGCCCACAACCGCTCGGCTCTGCTCTTATTTCCTCTACCTACCGGCAGTTCCGTGAAGGGGACAGTCCTTCCCCCTTCCACTCTGCTTCCCGCTCCCCGCTGCAGGGGGATGGCTGCACAAAACAGACTGGACATTACGCCAGAGCCGATCCTGCACTGCGACCTTCCCACAGCACGCAAAGGCAGCGCGCTCGTGGTGATCCACGTCTGAATACTCCTGCTGTCACAACAACCTGCTTGGTACTGCGTGCCAGACGTTTTGCTTCAAGCACAGCACAAAGCTGGGCTTTAGGAAGTGCAACATTTGTAAAGCTGGAGGTGATTTTAGGAGTGTGCTGCCTAAATCGCCCTAACGAGGGATCCACGTGGCAGACAGGTGCAGAAGCAGCGCTGCAGGATGTTTATAAACGCATATACTCATCACAAAGGCTGAAATACTGGTGGTGCCGGTGGAGGAAATCGGTCTCTCCCGGGCACACAAACACACCCAGGGCCGGCGTATTTGCTTTGCTGCCCTTTGGAGCCGGATGCAGGGGCGCCCGCCGAGCCCCCGCGCCGGCGCGATACTCACAGCGGGTGCCAGCGCTCGGGCAGGCGGCGGTGCAGCGAGATGCGGTCGCTCAGGAAGATGTTGATCTGGTGCCGGCGGATGCTCTCCTCCTGGCGCCGCCGCTCCGCCGCGCTCAGCTCCAGCCGCACGGCGCGGCCCAGCTCGCCGAGCGCGCCCGCCTCCAGCGCGGGCTTCTCGTACACGGGGCTCCGCAGCCGCGCCGCGTCCAGCGGCGGCAGCGACGGGGCGGCTGCCCGCGGCGCCGGCCCGCGCCGCCACGCCAGGAAGCCCAGGGCGGCCAGCAGCGCCAGCGCCAGCAGCGCGGCCCCGCCGCGCGGAGAGCGGCCGCGCTTCCTCCAGCACCGCCCCGCGCGGCCACCCATGGCCGCGGGCAGCCGGGACACCTCGGCGGAGCCTCCCCGCGCCGCGGGAGGCAGGGAAGGAGGGAGCCGCAGCGAGCCCGCCCCCGCGCCGCGGCCTCCGGGAAGCGCCGCCGGCTCCGCCCTGCGGCCGCCCCAGACGGCAGGAAGCGGCCGCCGAACCGGGTCCCGATCCATCATGATACCGGTGTTGATCCCGATCCCGCCTGCTCCCAACGTGCGCACGCAGCGAGGCCAGCAGCAGCGGGATCTAAGGGCCAGATCCTCTCCCACTGACGAGGGACAAACAGCAAAGGCAACAAGTGTGACCTTGTGCTCAGAAATCACCTCGGTGTAGGTGTAGCCCCGCTCGGTGTAATGGTCAGGCCATGTCATGACTTGGTGGGTAGTCCATGTTGTGACTTGGTAGAGCTGCATGAGGGAATAAATACGGCATTTGGTCCCAACTTTCTAACTTATTTTAAGCTGAAGAAAACATCTGCTTTTCTCTCACTTTTCTCTTTCACAGGATTCAGGCCTGTTTAGGATCATAGAACCATTATGGTTGGAAAAGACCTTCAAGGTCATTGAGCTCAACTGTAAATCCATCACCACCCTGCCTGCTAAACCATGTCCCCGAGCGCCTTCATCTGCACATTTCTTCAGCACTGCCAGGGATGGAGACTCCACCACTTCCCTCGGCAGCCTGTTCCAATGCCTCACCACGCTTTCTGTGTAGAAACATTTCCTAATATTTAATCTGAACTTTTCCTGGCACAACTTGAAGCCATATTTGTCCAAATTTAGAATGCTAAGGCAGACAGGAATAACAAGAGCCTGGTCAGCAGTGCCAGGCTGCTGTTCACCAGTATTGCTGAGGGATGAATGCAGACAACTTTGACATTGAGTGGAACACACACAAGTTTGGGACTAAGTGGAACACACACACAAGTTTTTATGTTTGTATCTTTACAAGGGAGGAAACTGCTGCCCCATCTATGGCTGATGAGCAGGACAAAGGAATATCTGCAGGTGGGACAGTGAGCAGAGCCATGAGTGGGGGGCACAAAGGACTCGGGTGACCTTAGGTGAGAACACATGGAGGGAGGCAGCGAGTTGGGTGTAGGTGGCTGGGAAGGCAGTAACTCCTGCGTACCTTGGCCAAAGGGGAAAAGGAGAGGGCCACCTCGGTCGGGAAATGAGGATAAAAAGGGGGCTGCGACCTCCAGCAACTTGAGACCCCACAGGGATGTACCCGGTGGACTCTCCATTCAAATAAAGTTTTAGGACTCCTCTGTCTCCTTTTTGGACATTCAGTTCTTGACAGTGGGATTTTCCACACATAAGGATATAGGAAAACAAAATCTGGTCACTCTCAGACGGGGTCATACTCTACAGATTAAAATGCAGAATGCCAGCTATGAGCTACTTCTGGCTTTGCCTAATACTGGCACTAATTACTGTACATCCAGTGATTATGCTGTCCTGCTGCTTGCCATTCTTTTTACATAAAGGAAGCCTGACTGACGTTGCTGATAACTGAGTTTTCAGCTAAGGAACTCTTAGTGGCTAGCGTGGGGGAAACCTTTCAGAGAAAGCCAACATTTCTGGTATATGTTGCTGATTTAGGTTTGTTTATCAGAAACAGAGTCTTGATTTTTCCCTTTTGTGTAAGACTGGAAACTAGTCAGAGTACAAGAAAAATAGTAAGTAAAGTGAGGCCTTCTTTTCAGTGAATTAAAAAGAAAAAAAGGAAAAGAAAAGGGGAGGGGGAGGGAGAAGACATCTGGGAACCCACAGACTCCCAAAGGACATGATTTGAGGAGTTGCAGAACATGTAAATAACAAGATTCAGGACTGAATCTTAATTAAGACTAGTTGAAAACAGGACAGTTCTGCTGAAGGGATTACTTTTAAGTATTAGAACAATAACTTTTAGGTACCAGAACAATATAGACAGGAAGATAGAGGAAATCAACAATATGGTTATATCATTTATATGGTTTAGAGAGAAGAAATGTGAATCAGAGAACAAAGGAACTTATATAATATCCACGTGAAAAGACTGGAGGAGACATTCTGCAATCACTGACAGTCAGGAAAAGATTAGCTAAGCATGCAGAAGATAATCAACCCAATGAGCCTTCAGACAAACCTAAAAAGGAAGAAATGTCTGCAAAGAGCACCAGCTTGCTTTAACAGAGGTAGGAGGAAAACTCATAGCATCTGGAAGTAACAGAAGTGTCCTTAGGAGGATAAAGACATAGTCAGCTCTCGGAATAATGCCCTTATGAGCAATTGGGAAAGCTTTCTGTCATCATCACTAGAGTGAGAATTGAAAACTGTAAATGGTAGTTCCCCAGAGATGATGCCGAAACATATAAATCTGAGGGAATTAAGCACATCAAAAAACAGCAACGGAATTAATACGAAATACATCAAGGATAAATTAGTTGCATTCACAAGTAAATTTGGACAAGCTGTAAAAGGCATGAAGTCAAAGAAACTTTTGCTTAAGCCTCTGAAGCAATTAGTAGGATGTAATTAAGATGGGAATACTGAAATATCTCAGATGGAATATTTGAAGGATAAAGATACAGGCAAAAGTTCTCTGAATGTAAAAATAAGCATGAGGGGAAAAAAAACCCTCAACTATTAATAAGGTAAATGAATTTCCCCTTTATCAGTAAAGACTGCCAGAACATTTTAATGGAAAAATTCCTTCTAAGAAGCTACACTGACTTTTTCCTCTTTAATAATACTGGAATTAAGTACAGTTGATTCTTGATTTTTATTTAAGATTAATAAGTATGTTTAGTGAGATAGAAATAGAGCTGTTTTAGGAGTCCTTGTTAGAAGGAAGTAGAGGAACCAAATGAGTCATCTAAACCTATAGTTATTTCTCTATAAATATCTAATCTGCTATTAATAGTCAAAACAGAAAATCAGTGGAATAATAAATACATTTATAGTATATTTTTAATATACTATACTATAGTATATATTAATACACTATAGTATATATTTATTAACATTTTTTAAAAAGAACAAAATATCATTTAGACCTTTCAGAAAGCAGCAAGAAAAAAAAAGAATAAACTCATCCATGTATAATTGTGCTTAAGAAATTACACTGAACCTAATAGCTGAAACTAGGAGGTGTTTTTTTTCTTTAATGAAATATCTGTTTGAATTGCAGGCATTATTTAGTTCAGGGAAAGAAATGGGGTTGTTAAAGGAATTACTCTGGTCTGCGGATAAAAAAATTACAAGAGATATTAAATTTTCCAAAGGTTTTAGAATTTTCCACCTCTTTTTTTTTTAACATTTTTTGTTGTTTTTAGAGTTGCAGAAATGGAGCGTAAAGAAGCAGAAATGCAATGTAAAGAAGTATTAGCTGATAGAGACTGCATTTTGAATGAAACCAAAAATCACGTAGCTTCCTAAATTCCTAGTTTCTGGGGAAACAAGTAATGTGTTTCAGAACAGTGTTTCTAGTTTTAGTAATAACCAAAACTTATATATTCTCAAAAAAGAAGAAAAAAATAAAAAATCAGAGGAATGATGAGGACAAATATAGGGCAGATACATAAAAAGTACAGAAGTATAAAGTACACCAAGTGAAATCAGTGAGATACCTTGAAATACACGGGTCATCGGTTACAATGGTCTCTTTCAATATGCATAAAATAGCATTGCCTTGCAAAGAAACAGCTTTCTCCTCCAGCTTTGACTCCCCAGCTTATTCACTCCTTTGTTGACACAAGTGTAGCTGTATTTTAAAAACATTATTATTCATTCCACTGTTCTCACTGTTCTGCTAGTGCCCAGATTTTTTTTTTTTTTTTTTTTTTTTTAATAATCTGTTTGTGTTCAAGGTGTGGTTCTTTGCAGCAGCTGCATGCTGTGGACAAGACATGAAAGGGATCAGGCTGTGATTTCTTTGCCCCACTGTGCATGGTTTCGGGTGGCTGATAAGGTCCTCTGAGCTTGGCCATGACTGTCTCACAGCCACGAGAGACTTGGGGTGTAGAGAGAACTTGGGTATATGGTGAGTGGGCCAAGAGAGCCCATTGGGCACTTAGAGGAAGCGCAGTAGGTACACAGGCTTAGAAATAAAATGGCATAAACACCCAGACTTTTCAAGTGAGATAGAAAGAGTCAGTTACTTCAGGGGGTTTTATCAGTCTGAAGCGCGTTGGGTAATTCTGATACGGGCAAACCAGTACAAACTGGCTGTACTCTGCAGCTTCTACCTGCACAGGACCTAACCTGTAGTGGTTTGCAGATTTATATAATGTATATATGCACCTAAATGCATACAAATGTTCACCCATATATAAAATATCTTGCTGAAAGGATCATAGGGCAACAAAGATGGTTAAGGGACTGGAACATCTCTTGTATGAGGAGACACTGAGTAAGTTGGGCCTGTTTAGCTTGGAGAAGAGAAGGCTGAGAGAGGATCTGATTAACATGTATAGGTTCATGAAGGGAGAATAGGTTCATGTAGGGAGGAAGGGGCCAGGCTCTTCTCATGTGGCCAGTGACAAGGGGTAATGGGTGCAAACTGCAACACAGGCAGTTCCATCTTCATATGGGGAAGAACTTCTTCACTGTGAGGGTGAGAGAGCCCTGGCACAGGCTGCCCAGGGAGGTTGAGTCTCCTTCTCTGGAGATCTTCCAAACCCTCCTGGATGCCGCCCTGTGCCCTGTGCTCTGGGTGTCCCTGCTGGAGCAGGGGGGTTGGACTAGATGGTCTGTAGAGGTCCCTTCCAACCTTAAACATTCTGTGATTCTGCGATATGCAAGCCATGATAACTTAAAGGATTTCTTTGGAACAGACTCTTTAACTACTTGTGTTTGTCCCCTTCTCATCTTTTTTCTTTTCATTGGGAAGGATGGTAATTCTACAGTCTTTTATATTATATAGTCTTGAATTATATATGAAGAAAAAATTTTCTCCTGTTTGGTGGTAATGAGGTTATGTCCATTTATATCAAATCCAATCAAATCCATTGTAG